GCTTGAGGATTTTTCAATTCATAAAAATATTGTATTCTGGAAGAAGCTCAGAGATAAGTCACTTACACTGAACAGAAACATACCTTTTAACCAACGCTGTGAATTGCCAGTGTCTGGAAAGGACAGACTGGAAGACTACAGCTCACTTTTATTACCAACTACTAAGTTCTCTTAGTTCACCCACATTTTAACCTTGCGATTTAAGCATCAGTTATTGCTGATGGAAAGCTCTAACTTGCACCCAAATTGTTCTGACTCCAAAAGTCCTTATACTTTTGCTCCTACTATATTGCCCTAAAATGAATTATTTTGTTCTTGTCTTATGTGAACTTTTTCCTGACTATTTTGGTTTTCCTTAACCTGAATCAGGCTTTTTCTTTAAAAGTTCTCATCAAAACAATTTTTGTTAACTAGGCTTACTGTGATCATCATTTCACAATATATACAAATACAAATCATTTTGTTGTGCACCTAAAACTAATATCTCAATTTTTTAAAAGTCAGGCCTTCTAAACCTCAGTACTGTAATTGACATTTTAGGATAAACAATTGTATGATGTCCTATGTAAGATAGAATGGTTAGCAGCATCCCTGGCCTCTACCCACTAGATGCCCTCATCCTCCAGTTTTGACAAAAAAATGTCTCCAGACATTGCCAGATCCCTGGTGGGAGTGCAGTGGGGCAGCAAAACTGGGAGCTGCTAATAAAGAGGTCAGTTGAGGAGGGGATGCCATTCCAGTTGGAGGAGGGCTGAAGCGGTGGCGAGTTTACTGGTTATCTGCTTGAATAGAACTCAGTGAAAAGTGAGGTGGGAGAGAGTGTGAACTCCTCCAACCCAGATCTAAAGATTGTACAGCTCTTACCTAGCTAGCTTTGAAAGTCAAGGATGGCTCTTGGAAGAGCTTTTAATGCAAAAAAGGAGACATAGGACAGAGGTCAGAAACTCCAAGAAACTTTAGAAGTTACATTAAAAAAATAAGTGGAACATACGATGTCATGAATTTTAGTGGAATTTGACATAAGGTGAGCTGATGCAAGGATTTGCCAGAGACTTAAAATAAGGCTATTTCATTCAAAGACGGTTAAGGCTCTTTGGGATATACCTCAGGTGTTAGAATAATGTTCATTTACCAAAGCCCTACTCTAAGAACTTTTTATTTAATTTAGTCCACAAACATTGAACAGGCACATTCTATGTACTGATCTGGGCACTGGGAGAGGCAAGAGGAGCAGGTAAGAGCCATAGCCCGTGCCCTTGTACTCTCAGTCCAGCAGGGAGACAGGCATTAGCATCCTGTCTGGGACGTGTCATGGTGGAGATGTGGCTCATCAACATTGCTCTGGCAGAGAAGACAGCAGGAACCCTGCCTGATGGAGGGACATGTGGAATATTTAGTGTCTAAATGTTTATACCACATCACCCAATGGTTTCTCACATTTTTTAGGATGAACAAATTAAGTAATAATTAATTTGCTGGCAAAGAGACTTAGTAAATGAAGCATATGGGGCGGAGTGTGAGAGGGTAGGCAGCAGCTTGCCCAATAGTCAGTGGCTACGGAATGTTCCCATAGTGATTCACACACAATTTTTCTTGACAGTCCACTAGTAAGTCGTTGCAGTACTTTCGAGGTGGGTGGATCCTTTATCCAAAGACCTAGTCTCGCCTTTCCCACGCTTGGGACATATCTAATGTGATGTCTCTCGTTAGTTCTTTGTAGGACATTTAAGTGATTTAACGCTTTGACTCTCTGCCTTTTTAAGTTTAATAATTCTTTTAGTCAAACTAACCTGCCAGTGTTTTCCATGAGATGAACTTTTCAAGCTTTATGATGTATGATTATCTTTCATAAAATCTGCCTACTTAGTTGGGCAAGTTTGGATTATGATAAGGATGTGTCCAGGGAACTGTTGTAGCTTCAGGCTCACCCTGGAGTGATTTATATCATCACACTTGGTTCACGGAATCCAGAATACCACCCTCTACTCGTGCTCAAACATCTTCTTGCTCATCCTCTTCAGGCTCCAGCCTCATCCAGTCAGTCCCACGTTACGTTAGTTCTGGATAATGTCTCACACATTTCTAGCTGTAGTAGAATTCAAATGACCAAAAGTATTATTTTTACTTCCAACAGCTCTGCTTTCCAACTTATTTTTAACACCACAATTAATAAAGCAGTTTAAAGATACAGTGTAGCATTTTGCACATCAGCTCACCTTTTCTCCATTGAGTCTCCAGATAATTTTCTTCAAGTTACCCTTCATGTCACAAGTGCATCTTTCACCAGCAGCCAAACGCCCCTTGTTTCTGGATGGCCATTCCTGCCCCAGAACCCCTTCTTTCTCCTGAGCACTGTGCCGGTTTCTCTCTCAAGCACTCCGAGTGGCTTTGATTCGCATCACCCCATTCTGGAATCACCTGACCTCTTTTCCAGCTGAAGGATTTGCTGGACAGATACGCTCGTCTTACTGTTCTTCTGAGATAGTTCAGAGCCCACTGGTTAGATCAGTAATCCCCAGATCACAATACCCTGTCAGAATTAGGGGGACATGGGTTAAAGATGCTCAGGTTATTTTTATGGGTATTCTTGAGATTGCTAAAATTCTATAATATCTTGCTGTCTCAATCAGTCACTCTGTTGGGTTACACTTAGATTAATTCTGAGATGCAGGACTTAGCAACTCAAATTTTAGGAAGTCTAAGAATTCTACATTTTCCTGTTGAGGTTTTAGGAAGCATTTACTATATGATTAGACATCCCTAGGCAAAACCCCTCTCAATCAGGGCAAAACCAACCTCCGGAAATGTTTTTGGGGACTACATTAGTTTGTTAGAGCTGCCATAAGCAAAATTCCACAGACCGGATTACTTAAAAAATAGAAGCCTGTTTTTTCACAGTTCCTGAGGCTGGAAGTCCCAGATGAAGGCAGGTTTGGTTTTTCTGAGACCCCTCTCTGGTTTACAGATGGCCACCTTCTTGCTGTGTCCTCACATGGCGCTTCCTCTATGCGTGCACCTCTGGTGTCTTTGTGTGTGTCTAAAGTTCCTCTTCCTATAAAGACACCAGTTAGACTGGATTAGGGCCCACCCTAATGGCCTCATTTTAACTTAAAACCTCTTTAAAGGCCTTATCTCCAAATATAGTCACATTCTGAGATAGGGGAGTTAGGGCTTCAGCATATGAATGAAGGGACACAACAATTTTTTATTGCCCCAAAGTCTGGGAGTGTGCTCCTGGCATCATGGCCAAGGGCCATCATGCTAAGTGCTCACTGTGTTGGAGATAGACTGACACAAAGAAAAATTGTTTAAAATGCCAGGGGCAACCCCTGTGAGAAACTCTTATTAGTCCTTACTGCTTCCTTTCATATGTCACATTTAAGTCAGACATTCAGAAAATTGGCCCAACCATTGTATAAAATGTCTGAATTTTTTTTTTTAATGTTTTTATCATAGATGCTGCCTCCGTGGACTTGGAAACAGTTGATGTTCAAGTTTTAGCAGACGCTTTCAAACGCTATCTCTCAGACCTACCGAATCCTGTCATTCCAGTAGCTGTTTACAATGAAATGATTTCTTTAGCCCAAGGTTTGTTTTCTCTTGGAGAACCTCATTGAACATGTATTGAGATGTGGATATGCTTGTATAGTGTGCCTATGAAGAGATGATTTTTTTTTTTTATTGCTTAAAGTATTACAAAGGGTATTACATATGTGTCCTTTTTTTTCTTCCCCGCCCTTGACAATCCTCTGGCCCCCCCTACTCCCCAGTGTCTTATGTCCATTGGTTATCCTCCCCCTTCCCCCGACCCTTGTCCCTACATCACCACCCTACCCCCACTCCCATTAGTACCACTTCCTTCCATTAACATCCAATAGAAGACCCAGCTCCTCGTTTGCTTAGGAAAACTGTCCACATGTTGAAGTGGCTAATTGTTCACCTTGATCAGTATTAACAGAGTTCACTGCATCAGTGAAGGCCACCGTGTTCCAGGTACCATCACTGGGTCCAGGGAACCGGGACTAGGCCCCAGTGGCTGGGGATGTTCTTACCATTGTCTTCAAGTGGCCATTAAAAAAGTGTCGAGGGAAGAGGACTCAGTTTTAGGAGCTAATGCTCAGTTAAAGTGCTTTGGGGACAGGAAATTGTGGTTTGTAACCTTCAAAGTTAAAACCTGTGATACTTATCTGATGCTCCTCCAAATTAGCCAATCACACTTGCAGCTGCTCAATAGAGGGCAGATTTCTGCCAGCACACCCTGAACCTTTTGTGGTTTTTTTTTTTTTTTAACACCAAAAACTTCTTACATTTCCATTTGACTTGAGATTTCTACTTTCTCACAATGTCTTTTCTAATGAGAAGGACAAATGGACTGTCTGCTGCTTCTGATGACTTTGTTTTAAATGGCTCCTTCTTCCATAGCCAGAAGGACAGGAATTTTTTAGGTGCTTATTCACTGGTACCTAGAAATATCTTTTATTCTTTTCTCTCCTTTTGTTGTTGTTGTTTTTAACTTGTAGAAGTACAAAGCTCCGAAGACTATCTCCAGCTGTTGAAGAAGCTCATTAGATCACCTAACATACCTCATCAGTATTGGCTTACGCTTCAGTATTTGCTCAAACATTTCTTCAAGCTCTCCCAAAGCTCCAGCAAGAACCTCTTGACTGCAGGAGTGCTCTCGGAACTTTTCAGCCCTCTGCTTTTCAGATTCCCTGCAGCCAGGTGAGTGAAAGAAGAGAAACATGCGTTTGGGGATGACGAGGGTAGTCCTAGGTTGATTCGACTTCACACTTACTCTAAAGATATTGGTTCCCAGACCCATGTGCACACTTACATTGGAATGTGTATAAATGAAGATGAGTCTGTTGTGTAGGGAGAAGGTTTCTAATGGAACTCTCTTTTTTTCTGTAGCTCTGAGAATGCTGAACCCCTCCGAAAAGTTATAGAAATTTTAATCTCAACGGAATGGAGCGAGCGACAGCCAGCACCAGGTAGTGCCCTTTGAACTTTCCAATTTCACTCATTGTTTGGTTTTTAGAGCCTGATAAATGGTGGCTTTAGACTTCATCTGAAATAGCCTAAGTTTCTATAATAACATGCTCTTGTGATTAAAGAACCACTAGCTGAATGGTAGTGTGTATGGTCAGTGTCATCCGTATTTCACTGTGTGTGGATTTGAAATGATCTTGGTTTTCGATGAGCTTGTTGGGAGAGCTCTCTGTTCCTCTCAACTTCTATGCTTCTAGTTTTGCGTAAATTATGGAGCTCATTTTAGTTGTTGACATTTTAGTTTGTCTTTCTAATATTGAGAAAGTAGGGGATTTATAATTAGTATATAATTTAAAGTATTTGGGAATGTGTTTTTTGGAAGCAGGTATGCTGAGAAATGTCTGTCAAAATAAACATTTTCAGGAACGCAAGCAGCATGAAACCAGGGAGTTCACTGCAGCACGTTAGAGCAAGCCAGGCCCTTCTTTGAAAGCAGGCTGGCGTTCCATTAGCCATTTAACAAAGCAGGAAATGTAGACCGTGTTAGCAGTGGGTTTAATTTAAACTGATGTATTTTTCTTCTACTGTGGAAAGTCTAAGCAACCTTACTTTGCTGTATATGCTGGTTAAAAGCTGGCCATTTAAAATAGTGAGTAAGGTCTTGTAAGTGAAGTTTCAGGCCCAGTAAAAGGTGTTGCTTATATTCTTAATTTATGCTTAGAATTTAATAAAACCTCAGAGGTAGTAGCTCATGAGAATTCCCAGATTTACCTCTGTGTGGGCAGGCGTGGGAACCCAGGGGTCACTGTCAGGCAGTGGAGATTGAAGCTGTGCCCCTCAAGGTGTTCCATGGCCAGGATTGGTTATTTCCACTTGGGTGGAGCAGACTGAGAGAGGCGAGGGCCTGTGCTTACAACCCGCCTGTAGGGGTGGGGTAAAGCCAGGTGGGTATTGGGCAGGGCTCCTGTGGACAGGCCCAAAATATGGTCTCCAGAGGTGAGAAGAGGCAGCAGAAGTGGTACTTAAGGCAGGTGTGGTGTGTTCCAGATCACAGCAAGCAGGATGTTCCACAGGGAGGCCTCGCATTATAGGTAAACTGCAGAGACGGCTGTCGACAAGGATGGCCACGGACTAAAGTCCAGGTGGTGGTCCACAGATTTCATCTCCTGTGATGCGTGGGTCATTTGTTAATGGGTCTTGGAGCTCTGTGTCGATGTTCAGAGGTTGCCTTTGGGCTCAGCAGGAAAGAATGCCGTGATGTGTTGGAAGGACCCTGTGAGAAGAGGTCGGCACAGGTTTGGAACATGGCACTTTAGTCATTCATTGATGGCCTTCCCTAAACTAATCACACACGAGTGAGGAAGAAAGCAGATCGCTGGGCCAACGGTTGGGCTGTGATCTTTCACTTCCTCCTGACTAGTGTGGCGGTCTGTCTCAGACTCTAGGGTAGAAGCAGGGCCTGCTGCAGGGAAGGGCTAGGTGGTACCACCGTCCTGGTCTTCTCAGTGGCTCCCCCTCTGGAGAGGGGAGGTATGGAAGCTAAACGCCAGCCAGGGTGTGAGAGACACCCACAGATGAATTTATCACATGGAGTTTTTGAGAATTTCTACTATATGAGTGTAGTAGGATCAGTGGTGCAGTTTAATGAGTGACTGGTGTAAACTGATCAAACATCTTTATCAGTTTCTGCTGAATTCTGCCAAAGAAAAGATTCATCTGCAACCATTTTCATAATACACACTTAAAAGTGCTTGATAGCCCCAGCTGGGTGGCTCGGTTGGTTGGAGCATTATCCCATACACCAAAAAGGTTGCAGGTTCGATTCCCAGTCAGGGGCACGGCGTGTACCTAGATTGCAGGTTTGATCCTTGATTGGTGCGCATACGGGAGGCAAACAATTGATATTTCTCACATAGATGTTTGAATGCCCCCCCCCCTAGGAATCAATTTAAAAATACCCTCGGGTAAGGATTAAAAACAAAAACAAAACTGCTTGATATATCGTAGACCCTGCCTACAATTTTTTTATAAGGAAGTTGGTGCGCCAATTCCAAAGGTGGATTACTTCCACCAGCTCTGTTGAATAAAGACAAATGAAGCCTTGAACATTTGCTAGACCACCCCAGAATTCATACAGCCTCTTCAAAAAACGAACCCAAGTCATTTTAAACCATGGTGAGCCATTTTTACCTTGGTGTGATATCTCCTAGCTGTTCTGGAAATTGTATAGGCCCTTTGGAATTAAAGGGATGCTTTAGCGTCTCTCACCTGTGAAAACATATGACACATCTCAGGAAAAACGCCCCATCCTGGACACCTTTGCTCAGGAATGGCTCCAGTGCAGGTGATTGGCAGGAGGCCCTGGGTCAGAGAAATGATTTCTTAGGCCTGGTAGGAATGTGACATTTCCAGTCCCCTCATTGCCCCAGCACGTGGTTTTACCAGAGGGCTTTGGAAGCACAGTACCCATGCATTTCCATAAACGGTTATAAATCATTCACTTTCAGTAACTTTATTACTGTGGATAGAAATGAGCACGTGAATGATATTTGTGGGAAGGGGTAGCAAGACTATTATGGGACAAAGACATCTTTGATAGTTTTTACCAGATAGAACTTGAACGGACAGGCAACACCGATGATGTTTGAGGCAGTGTGTCAATTCGAATAGGACCCATTAGCACATCGTGTCTAATTAAGCACTAGACCGAAGGGCTTGTATTCTAAGTACAAAAATAATTTTAGGGATGTGATTGGTACCTTGTTAGGGTAATTGAGTTGACAGAAAAAGCTCATAGGAAAAATAAGACTTAAATTGGGTTTTGAATAAAAGGAACAGTTTGAATAGGGGAAGGAGAAATAACATTTCAGTTCAAGGAGTTTCAAAGATTTATTCAAGATAAATTTCCAAGTACAGAAATAATGAAATGGCTTGACAAAATTAATCAGAAAAAAGCTAACAACCATATGGTTTCACTCATAGGTGGAATATAAAACTGAAACTCATAGACACAGACAACAGGATGGTGATTACCAGAGAGAAGTGGGTGTGGGGTGTGTGTAAAGGGGGCCTAATATATGGTGACAGAAGATGGTTTGAGTTTAGGTTAAAAAAGAAATAGAGGCTTGATATTTTTATCAGATTGTAAAGAGCAGGAGATATTTCAGTGACAGTATCATAAAAGCATCACTTAGTTTGAAAGTATTGCCCAGCTCTTTGTGTGCACATGAAAAAAGGGAAGCCAGCAGGGGTTAAGGGTTTCATGGGGTATCACCCGACCCATGGGTGCCGACTCTGGGGTCTGTGGAGGGCTCTACTCTGCTGCTCTGCTGCCCGGGCCTGAGGAACCTCCGTGAGCAGTGCTGCTCTCAGTGGCCAGTCAGAAGTCCTCTAAGTCTCCAGCAAGTTTGCTCCTCTGGGTCACAGACAGTAGAGAGCCACATGCAGTTTTCATAACTGTTGTCATAAGGCTCCTAATCACTCCCTCTGTCGGCTATGCGGTGGAAAGAACCATGGGAGTCAAGTAGAACTGGGTCTGAATTTCAACTCCTGCTACTTACTTGCCAAGTTCGTTATCAAGTAACTCAGCCTTTCCAAACTGTTTTCCGGTCTTTGACATTGGAATAATGCTTCTGTCCTGGGGTTGTTGTGAGAACTATGAGGTGGTCTCTGCTGTGTGTTGTGTCAGCTCTGGTTTTTAAGGCCCTGCGAGAGCTTGCCTCACTCTCAGCTCCGATCCCCCTTGTTCCCCATTCCTGGTGAGGTCTCCCTGTGAGGCCGTTCTCCCCTCTGACCCTACCCCCCTCCCCCCACCCCCGTTCCTAGCCAGCAGGGATAGGCCCCAGGCCAGGGAGCCTGCAAATATGAGAGGGACCCGCTCTGGGCAGCTGCTGCCTCAGGAGTGGGTGCATGCTGAGAGGGAGGAAGGTGCCCTTGTAGGATGCCCTTTCCTCTGCGTGGCATGGCGAGTGGAAGGGCCTGGATTTTAGTGCCAGTTCCTCCTGCCACTGCCCAGGTGCCTTCACACAGTGCACACAATGTACAGCTGTGCACAGCAGCCCCAGACACTGCCATCCACTGCATCTGCACGAAGCCCCTTGTCCTCTTACACGTAAGTGTTCTCATCTGCTCAACCACATTTCTCAGGGACAAAGGCCGCTTCTCCTTTTGAGCTCTTCCTTGCATAGAACGGCACAGAATGATAATCATCCAGTGAACTGTCTTTTAACCTCTGATACACATCCCAGCTTTCAAAGCACTTTCACATACCACCTCTGTTAATGTACCCAGCAAACCTGCAATGCAAGGCTTCTCCCCTCATGGAAGGAAACGAAGGTTTGAGGGGTTAAGCATAGCGTAAGTGCTGTGCCCTTTGTGACTAAAGGTCTTCAACACATTTAAAGCTCAAACAGCAGGTTTTCTTGAATCATGGTGTGATGTTTACCCTGCTAATCCTTAGGTAGCTAAAGCAGATCACTATAGGGCAACTAAAGTAAAAACAGGACCAGTTAACATGGGCTGCCTTTGAATGAAACCCATTTTAAGTATATTTACATATTTCAGATTTCATGGATACATTCAGAAATATTAATGTAGCATAATTGAAGTCTGATATGGCACCTCAAGTCCAGAGAGGAAAATAAATGACTCTTTCTCCCCCTGCCCTTTTACACCTGTCAGAGTTAATTTTTAACCACTGGGGGATTGCAAAACATTCATCCTAAAGAGCCTGATTCATAAATCTTGTTTTAAATTCTCTGGGCTTGCCTTTCAACCAGGACTAAAGCACTAAGGTAGAGTGAAATGACATTCAAAGAATTTTACTTTTCTCTGATTTGTTTTTTTATTGAATTTAAAATGTGGTCTGACATTAGAGGTTGTTTTAAAGTTGAGAAATGAAACCTTGGGAAAAAAAAGCATGCATACATTTAGATGGGTTGGAGTAAACAGAGGCAGGCCATCAGGGTTATGTATTGAAAAATAGGAAATTTTACTTGCACTCTGAAAAAGAAACATTTCAGGGTGCGTATGTTGGCATACAGCTCAGTTTTACTTCTGATTTCACAGTGCAGGCTTCTATTTCCAGAGACAGTGGCTGAGGGGGAAATGACAGGGCAGGAGTTCTTCACTCCACTAAGCAGTGGATGCACCTTTTCAGATATTTGGTAGGATGTCATTTTTGCGCATATGTAAACCTGAGTTTATTTAGAAATTCAAATGGACAGTCTTCTCCATGCGGGGTCATTAGGAGAGCCAGATATGGAGTGATGAGTTTGCATCATCCTGAAAAGCCCCTTTGTCCTAAGTTGTTTCAAGTTAAATTATAAAGGGAGGCATCCATTTAACCCTTAAAGGATGATTTGGGTTCATGTTTTTGTTTGTTTTTTAAGTGGCCTTTTGTTCAGAAATGATAGCCCACCAAAACAGGTAAGAAGTTGTGCAGGATGAATGGTAGTCGTTAAACAATTGTGATTTGATGGTGATTTGCACATATGAATACAGTGTTCAGTCTATAACTTTCAAAGGTATTTTTAGTGGTTAAGGGACCTGCTGAGAAGTGAAATATGAACTATTTTTGCCTCAGAAACAAGTTTTACCAAACTTTGGGAAAAGGAAAATTAGTAAGACATATTGTCTTGAAGAATTTGGAGGGCTAAAGTTTATTTTTAATTATGTGTGTAAGTTCTCCAGGTGGCTGTCTTTGAGTCTCAGATAAATGCTAAAATAAGTTTTCTTCCAAGAGCTTAGCAGCCACATGAAAAATATTTCCTACGTTGTTATGACATCTGTGCATTTATTAGTTATTTGTTAGTGAATCATATAGATTAAGTGACATTTGGACACCTATTTTGTGTGAAATTTTGGACATAATATGAGAGGAATGTAAAGTACTGAAACTTGCCTGGTTTTTCCCAAGCAGAAGTCACTGACTCTATTCTACCAGCAGAGGGCTCCCTTTTTAAGCTAATAAAGAGCATGTGTCTGCAGATCACTTTTCTACCACTAAAACTGAAGAGGAAAAGACCCAGCTCACACTTTCAGTAATATAATTGAACCTCTATGGTAGATGATGATACATATTGTGAGAAATTCAAAGCAAAGTTTACAAATCTATTTTAAGAATTTTCTGTAAGTAGAGGGTGTACTGCTTTCCAGTGGATAATTTTCTTCTGAAACAGAAAATATATTGTTGGACTAGAAAGCATTTTAATCTTAGAAGGTTTTGGCATGAATCATCATGTGCCTCCAGACAGGTATGCTTAAGAGACTGGTGTTTCCGAAGTTTCTAGCTTTAGAAAGACTTAAAAATAGAGCAAGATTATGCTGCTCACGATGCAAGGGTAGCCTCTGAACTAACCACGTGTCCCAGTAATCACTGGGCAGGAGCTGGAAGATGCACTTACACAGTTTTTGTTTTCATTAGAAATGGAGATCTTTCACCAATTACACCAACGGAAAGTTTGTAAAGTCACTTTCACTGTGAGTGCAGCAGCACTTCCCAGATGTTGCAAGTAATCCTGAAACCAGCTCCCCGGTTCCTGCCGGTGTAGACTTTATATCAGCACCTCAGTCTTTATCCCTGCATGTGACCATTGGGTCACCTTCCTATACAGAATCTGAGGGTGTTAGAGACCACACCCATATTTCTTCAAAGAGAATTTGAAGGTAGCTTTTTAAAAATTTAGATAAGCTAAAAATAGAAAACAAAAAGTCAGTTTTGTTGCAAGTGTGAAATTTCTGGTATGTGGCTTAGAAGACATTAGCTTCAGTTTCACTTGTTAATTTTTACGTTCTCTGGCAGAGGGAAGTGAAGAGCAGGGCCAGTGGGTGGAGGAAAAGGAGTTCTGGTCCTCCTGCTATAATCTTGTGCAAACCACTTTACCCCTCTGGTCAGAATTGTGTGTGTGTGTGTGTGTGTAGTATGAGGGAATTAACAGAAGTCATCTCTAAATTGCTGTCTGATTTTAAAGGTATGATTCTGTGATTTTTACATTGTGTTTTGGTTCTTGGAGTAATAGTCAAGCTGATACGAGTGAAAAGTTTCTGAGGTCAAATTTTAATTAAGTCTGGTTCATTGCACCTTTCTCAAATAGAGAACAAACATCCCCCAGAAAGGTATTCCATCTGCTTGTCCTTCTCCCATCCTTTGCTCCATGTGGCCATCGCTTGAACCCGGTGCAGACACCCCTCCTAATTATTACAAAACCCTCTGGCTATTGAAGCCCAAGTTGCAATTGACTATAGAAATAGCTGCAGCTGGGGTTTTTCTCTCTCAGTCTTCATGTGGTCGTGGAGCATAGTATCTATGCAGAGTTAGAGCCATCTTCCCTAGGACTTGAAATATTTTTTTAGACCTGTTCCCTGCCCAGTTGCTGCGTAGGGCTTTCCTGTTACACCTGCGGGCTGCCTGTGCTTGTGTGTGGGAGGAGGTGGACTGAGCAAGGCATGGTGTTCTGGGCCATTCCGAGGGTTCAGGCCTTTACAAGCAGGGCTTTGATTCTATTTTTTGCTGAACTAGCTCAGCCACTTCCTGTGTTTGGCTGTGCATAGTGCCTCGCTTCACTGTGGCCACTTGAGCCCGGCGAGCCAGGGAGCGCGCTGCCGCAGCCAGTTAGAGAGACTATTTTAGGTCCCCGCACAATGGCCTTCTCATTTCCTCGGTGAAAATGAGCGAGTTGGGCTGGCATTGGCCACTTGTTAGCAGATGACAACTTTGACTTTGACTCGGGCTCTCCTCCCCTCCCCGAAATCCCTGGCTCAGCAAATATTTGAACCTGCCCAAGTTAATCATGAAGCCGCGATCTTTATCTGAGAGAGCCCTGCGAGCGCCGGTGCCTTTTCCCTCCCGGGTACTGGACCCGCGTCCAGCGGCTGTCTCCGCGGGGAGCCGGTGAGGGTGCAGCGGCGCGATCCTCCTTCGGTCCCAGGGGTCCTGCGCGCTGGCAACCAGCACCGCCTGCCTGAGAGCCGCGGGGGGAGCCGCGGGGGCTGGTCCTGCTGGCTGGAAGAATAGCTTTTTGGATTTTTTTTTTTCATTGTCGGATACAGGCTTTCAAAGAGAAACCCGTTGAAATGCATAACCTGCAAAGTAAGTTGCTTTTAATTTGTGCACTTCTCTGCCCCTTCGCTGTTGCATTAGGGTTTTTTTTGTTGTTTGTTTTTTGTGGTGTCTTTTTTTTTTTTTTTGTAGTTCTGTGAGAGAGAGAGAGAGAGAGATTGATTAAGCACTCCCTGGGGAGGGCAGATGGCAGATTAGGGAGATGCTCCTTTCCTGGAGGGGCACAGGGTGAGGGAAGGATGGGGTTAGGTTGGAAGCGGGGAAGGAGGTAATTACAGTGCCGGGCTGGAAGTTGGTGCCTGGCCAGGCCTGGGAGAGACGTGGAAAATCACCTGTCTCCCTGCTCCCCGTGCCACATGGGCTCCCTTCTCAGCCCTGGTTTGCACCAAGTGCTTCCAGCGGCATGCGGCCCTCTGTCGGAGGCTAGAACTTGCCTCCCTTCCTTGGGGGGTATCACTATCTTTATTAAACCGAGAGATTTCTTTCTGAATCTTATTTGAGGGCACCACCACCGCCACTTTTACTTGAGTTTAGGTTTACTTAAGCTCTTAGGCAAATAGAAAAGTGAGTGGGAGGGTTTTTAGGCTGAGTCTGCCTTCATGGTTAATGAGAAGATGAATTATAAACTAGAGAGGGGATTCAAGTGAATAGTGCTCCGAGAATGGCCTGCCTTTGCTCTGCTCTTTTATATAGTTTATGATTCCAACGTTGATAGAACGTCTAAGAGTAAATTTTTAGGGCTTCTGTGCTCTTTAATCACACAAATACTGTGTAGATCACAGAGCCCACTATAGTTTTTTAAATCAGCCACATTTACATGGGGTGAGGGCTTCCCCCACCCCCCTTCTTCCTTCCCTCTCATCCTATTGCAAAGAGGGACCATTTCTTAAGGGGAATGTACCTTAGGCTCCAGTAAGAGCAGCAGGATTATATAGAGAACAGCTTTAAAGAAAAAAAGATTAATAATTAAGCTTATAGGGGAATTGATGTCTTTACATTAAGTACTGCTAAGAAGGAATAGTAATAGTCCTCCCCAGTGTGAGGCATTTGAGGTAGAGGAGATAAAAGCCCCCTCCCCACCCCCACCTCCCCAAAAAGTGATTACATCATCCCCACGCCCACCCAAGCAGTGTTAACACAATAAATCCCAGGATGGGTTCACCGGTGAGAATACTTTGCCAAGACAGCTCTCGCCCCTCTGCATTCTGATATGTATGGCCTCTTCCTATTTGGAAGACAGCTTACCTTGACCAGTCTTGTTAGGCAGTAACATTAGAATTCTCATTAATGATGTTGACAGTTCTGTTGATTATTTCTGCTAACAGACCTCTTCATTCCTGTTAAGAATTTCCAGTGTTAGTCCATAAAGTATAGTTTTGACTTTGCAATGTTTGGTCGAGGAGGAGAGCTTGCCTATGTATTTCCTTGTACTTGAGCTTTCTAATGTGGTACACTTGTGACAGTGTTTGAGTTTTTATGTAGGACTGAGATTAAATATCCAGAGTCCTTTCTGCTTTTAATACCTATGGGAGGTATTTAAGGACTGTAAAATATACCTTAAATATACCGTTTTCATGCATTTGTAAGATTTTTAAACCGAGGAATGATCGGGCTATCTAAAAACCCAGATGCACTAGGGGAAAAAAAGCTACGTGCTGCAGCATATCAGCTTTTGTCACCCTGCCAAGAGCGGAGCGTACCAAGCTGCAAGGAGCAATAAAAAGGGAATTAGAAAACTCACTGCTGGAGGAGAACAGTCAAATTAAACAGCTTTTGGAAGCGATGAGCATGTATACGTTGCAGTTCTATTAAATGTAGCTTAGTGAGGTTGGGGTTGTGCTAAGGCTGATACAGAAGAGAAATAATGAAGCAGGAGTGGTCTGGTGACATTTTTCTGACTTGATTGGCTGGGCTGTGTGATGTAATAGGTTACAGTGCAGCCCCTTATAGGTTTTAAAATGAATTCCAAGACACCATTACAAAGAAAGCCGGACTCTTTTCTTATAACTGAGCTCAGCCAAGGAAACTCTCGCACAAATGTACAACACTGTTTGGAATATGGAAGACCTGGATTTAGAATATGCTAAGACAGATATAAATTGTGGCACAGACTTGATGTTTTATATAGAAATGGATCCACCAGGTAATACTGCAGTATATTGTAGAAAGCTAGTTAATTTTGTGGCTTTTTTTTTTTTGACAACTCTGTAATAGAGCCTCTTTAGATTTCTATTTTTATTAATTTGTTCTAATTTAATAATAATTCATTTGATCATAGCCTGTGGAAGCAGGCAGATCAGATTGTATGTGGTAAATGCTTATTCTTAATTGAATGTCTATGAATGGAATGCCCGTTTTTCACTGGTGTCTTTTGTTAAGATCTTTTGCTATTTGGGTTATATTGTTGTATAGCGTTCTTGTAATTGAATTGATGTCTCCTTTGTGCTGCTTTTCTCTGTTGCCAATGGAGGAGAACAGTGTGATACTTTGTGGGGATAGCACTTGGTACTTCAGAAAGCATGTAAAATGTAGCAATGATTGCAACTCAGTTCTAGGTGACCGGAAACTATTCTAAATCAAATTTTGAGATTTTGCCTCCTGTCCTAAGATACTATATTAGGATACTATAAAGAGAAAAGAAGTTGGCTCTCCATTCCTTAGTCCTAGTCTTTATCACATAGTCTTTTGATAGACTTCTGAAATAATTTTACATAAATTAAAATCGTAACTGTGCTTTAAAACTTATGACTTAGAATTTAGCTAAAAAATCTGGGTTTATTCTGCTTTCTAACTTAATTTATCCCTATGTTATTAGCCCATTTCCCAATGAAGAAATTTCAGAAATACCACAGCCTTTCATTTGTCACCAATTGGTATATGAATATTGATTTGACATTGAGAAAGAGGAGTATAGTTTTTAATCAGTTGACATATAGAGCACAATTTCTCCAAGAAAAAATTAACACTAAAGAGATTTAGGTCACAGATGAGTTTCTTAGAGTGGCTTTTGGCAGAACAGTGCCTGAAATACTAAGACGAGAAATACTAACTCTCCTCTGAAAACATATTGCTGTAGGTGAGCCTCTTTACCACACCAGCATTTGTGAAGGGCAGAAGCCAAATTTGTCTCTCCTAATTAAATAGGAGGAAATTAAAGCCAACCCATGTGATTCCTCCTGCTCACTGTGCATGCATGGTTTCTGACTTCAGCTGGATTTGACCAGGCATGAAACTTTAATATAACCAGAACCTAGAAGTAGAAAATGGCACAACTCTGGATTTACTCTGAAATTCTCATTTATTAATCTCCAAGCTGTTTTCTTCAGTTTCTTTTCTCTTTGAGCTGTACTCTGAAAGATTTCTGATTATTTTTTTTTTTTTGGAAGAAAACAATCTTGCATGTTTCATGGAATTCTGAATTATTGCTGTATGTCACACTCTACTTTCATCCAAAGAAATTAGGTCTGTTTTAAAATGTTCAATTGTAGTTTGGGGTTGCAAACAACTTTCTCCTTTCTCCTTAATCTACAGCACTGCCTCCTAAACCACCAAAACCTACTACTGTGGCCAACAACGGTATGAATAACAATATGTCCTTACAAGATGCTGAGTGGTACTGGGGAGATATCTCGAGGTAAGCCCACAGAAACGCTTAGTTTTCACTAGCGATAGAGAATTTTTAGGTTAAGAGAAAGAAAAGCACCAGCTTGCTAAGTTCCATTTTTAGGCTGTCATCCAATATAAGCATTGAAGCATACTGGATTCCCTTCCAAAGGCTACCAGAGAAGTCACTCAGACGCTGGAGAGCTGTGGGTGCTGGTGCCACCGGAAATTACACACTGAGAAGTTCGATTATTGACAGATGTCAGGGAGGCACCGGGACGAGTGGCACTGCCCAAGGCAGCGTGCAGGCACTCCTGTCACGCAGAACTCTAAGAATTCATACGATTATCTCACACACAATAAAATAAAGTGGCATTTTTATTCTTAGCTTCTTGTTTTTACGCGGGGAGGGATGGGGAGGAAACCTTTTTGGGATCATGATTTGCTGACTTGTTAGCATCTTTGGTTAAAAAATAAAAACGTGTACCACAGTTACATGGATAGTGAAAGTAGGTTGTTTTTTTCAACTCCCATGCACCTGTTTATAATGAGATGGAGTTTGTAACATTTTTTATATAAGAATAAATTGTTGAGCTTTGAAAATGTAATTAATAAGCATAAATCTATAGGGGAAGGGTGTTAGAGGCTTTTTCTGTACTTTCTGCTCAATTTTGCTGTGGACATAAAATTGCTCTAAAAATTAAGTCTATTTAGATAATCACTGAATCCTTGAGGTAAGCCCTGTCTTGTGTTCTTTTCACGTCAGGGAGGAAGTGAATGAAAAACTCCGAGATACAGCTGACGGAACCTTTTTGGTACGAGATGCATCTACTAAAATGCACGGAGATTATACTCTTACACTAAGGTGAGTCAGGGAATGGAGGTAAAGCTGGGGTGGTTCAAGTTGACATTAAAACACATTTCTTTAAAGGAAATTGTATTCCATTACATTCATATTGTATTTACAGGAAAGGAGGAAATAACAAATTAATCAAAATATTTCACCGAGATGGGAAATACGGCTTCTCGGACCCATTAACCTTCAACTCTGTGGTTGAATTAATAAACCACTACCGGAATGAATCTCTAGCTCAGTACAATCCCAAGCTGGATGTGAAGTTACTTTATCCAGTATCTAAATACCAACAGGTAATCAAATGCTCACATTGTTCATGTCATTTAAGTAAGGTACTTTCAGTGCTTAGAAACACTTAGAAGCAGATGAATTGCATGTAATGAAATTTGAAAAGCTTTGTACTTGTAATCACAAAATTACAATTTCAGAGTAGTTCAATAAAATACTCTAAGGATTTTTCCACGTCAGATATTTGGTTAAATAGTTCTTAATTGATTACATACCTTATCCATTGAATTGCTTTTTCTTCTGCTCTCTCTAATCCTTCTAGGATCAAGTTGTCAAAGAAGATAATATTGAAGCTGTAGGAAAAAAATTACATGAATATAACACTCAATTTCAAGAAAAAAGTCGGGAATATGATAGATTATATGAGGACTATACCCGTACTTCGCAGGTGAGTTTTCTGTGAAAATCACATTATAATTTTAGAAGTGTTAGTTATTAAAACCTAATGCATATTAGCTTCAAAAACAGAATAAAAAGGTTGAGTTTTTACAGTACAGTGAGGTTGAGAGCTCATTTGTTTGTGAATCATTGTGGATTATTCGAGTAATTTATTCATTATATCTCTATTTGTAAATGAAGCCTATCAGTATCAGAATAGTAAGTTTACAAGAGAAAGGAAGAGGTTACTGTGAGTTTTAAGTTGATTTGACACCATTCTTGATTGAAGAATTATTTTTAGCTTGGAAGTTCCACAGACTTGTGGAACTTGGCTAATATCAGAAATAGGGATTTAACCATCGGGACCGGCAGGGGGAGTAAAGGGCAACATGGATGTCATGAATTGCTGATAAAGTGGCATGACTTTAACCAAGATGGAAACTTAGGAAACTGTCAGGTAGTCATTTTCCATAAACTGGAATAATTCCCAAAGGAAGTGTGTGCTTTTGTGATAGTGTTTTAGTGAGTCTATGAATTAGAGTTCCACCTTGCTAACAAAGTACTTAACGTTCTAGATAATCATAACGGGAGTCTCTTACAATAAGAAATCACCTGTTCTACGAAAGGTGTGACATGGTTTTACTAATATTGTGTTGCAGGAAATCCAAATGAAAAGAACAGCTATTGAAGCATTTAATGAAACCATAAAAATATTTGAAGAACAGTGCCAAACACAGGAGCGCTACAGTAAAGAGTACATAGAAAAGTTTAAACGTGAAGGCAATGAGAAAGAAATACAAAGGTTGGTCAGAGGAGTGTCCCTTTGTTCTGCTAGAGATAACCAGGATATTCTTAAACTGCTTAAAAGTGATCTTGCTTTCTGTGCTGTGCATATTTAAAAACAACGGGTAGGGAAAGCAAAGCATTCCTTGCCTTAGGAAAATGGCTGGGGCTCCACAGGGAGCATTTTCATATAAACTGGGGGATCCCTTCATGATGAACTCGGGTGATCACAGATGCGTTTCTCTTGCCTGCAGGATTATGCATAATTATGAAAAGTTAAAGTCTCGGATCAGTGAAATTGTGGACAGCAGAAGACGACTGGAGGAAGACTTGAAGAAACAGGCAGCTGAGTATCGGGAGATTGACAAGCGCATGAACAGCATTAAGCCCGACCTCATCCAACTGAGAAAGACAAGAGACCAGTACTTGATGTAAGTGGTGGGCACGGAACCCGCAAGGGAATGACTGCCAGTGGCTAAAATTAAGGCTAAGTTCTGAATGCGTTTTCCCTCTGAAACTCTTTTTCAGGTGGTTGACTCAGAAAGGTGTTCGGCAGAAGAAGTTGAACGAGTGGTTGGGCAATGAAAACACTGAAGAGTAAGTCGTTACCACAGATGGAGGCAGCAGGGTTTTTTTTTTTCATTTTAGGAAAATACATGACTTGCCTTATTTAGAGAACAAGTGAGGAATTTTACTGAGTTTGGAACATCTTGTAGGAGAAAATGTATAAACCCAGTCTCATTATCCAGAATATTTTAAAGGGAGAGTTTAGGGAGGGAAGATACAGACTCCCCCTTCCCCCTATCATTCCAACACTGTCCACAATGATGTCCCAACATATTTTTGGAACAATTTGAAAAAAGGGACAGAATTAGGCTGAGTATGTTTTTGAAGCTTAAGCATATG